GTTTATTTACATGGTTCTACTACTAATTTATCTTACGCAACACCAGGATTCTTACGGGGTTGGTTTCTGGACTGATGAACTAAATAAAAACTATAAAAGACTACTAAAAACAGAAACTCTTTATAAACTCGCTATCTGACGTCTAGTGTAGAATTATAAATACAGAGAATTCCTGAATCTAATGGGTACTTTAAATCAGAACCAAAACCTTCTAAAATGTAACAAGGTTAACTAATAAGATACAATGAAGAAAATATATAGTAATGTTGAAAACCCAACTTACAAATTCATGAATAACACATACACCTCTAACTACAACTAACACTTGATAAAATACCTAATTAACACAACCTACACTAGGGAAACAAGATACATAATACTATTGAACTTTCGGGTAATTACTGCCTAGTTTAAATATCACAACATGGATGCCTTGGGCTCTCTCTCTCTATGTGGGTGTCTCGTGCGCCGTGTTCTAAAATTCTTATTTTTATTTTAAAGGATTATAGGATATCGACATAAAGGTCAAGTACTATTGGGGGGGGGGGGGGGGGGGGTTCAAAACACGAACGATTTCATGAGCACAATTGTGAACACACTTACATGAGTCTGGTGGGAAATTACGTCGGTTAATAAAAGGGAGCTCAAGGCCATTTGATAATTAATAAATTTTAACTATTAAAAATACTTAAGTAGGTCAAAATATGTATTATATATCAAACTTTCAAATTTAAATTGATTACAAATTATTATTTTGTTATATATAATGTTAAATACGCTCGGGCATTTGGGCATTTGTCACATTCGGATAAGTATCTACTCGGGCATTTGCCGCATTCGGGCAAGTGTCAATTTGGGAAATCAGCCTTCGGGCAAACGGCATTCCTGCAAGTTTCTTTGACGTCTACCCATATATATATATATATATATATATATATATATATATATATATATATATATATATATATATATGTGTGTGTGTGTGTGTGTGTGTAAAATTCGTTTTACGCTGCATAACATCATTATCCGCAGTCGAAGAAAATAAACGGCTACTTTGTTTACGAACATTCAAAACTGTTTTCTATATCTAATGTAGGACACCATGTTAAAAGAGGAAGTGCCCTGTAAAAAGTGCCTCAACCTATCCCAATTTGGGGGAATGGAGGTTTTTTTAACACCGTGATTATCTATATACTACTAAAACTCAAGTTTGTTTACATGAATATTTATTTGTCTGATTTACTATTGTATATGGTTCTATCTGGAGAGCTGTAAAATAGTATGTAGGTAGAGAATAATTTTTTATTGCAGACAAACTGTTAATCACACATTTATTTAAATAAGTTAATTAATTTATTGATTTATTCATAGGTAGATTAACCACATTTGTTTTAAAGTTTTAGAACAATGGCTTAACTTTGGCTGAATAGTGATGTTTGATAACTCATTTTTTTGTTTGTTTGTTTTTTTTTTTGATTTGTTATTGGGGAGAATCTTCATTATTTGTAGAGCTGTAAAATGGTATTTTGGGTGGTAAATATTGTTCCTTCTTAAAAACACTGTTAATTACAAGCTAATTTAAAGCCGTTAATTAATTTATTGATATATTCATGGGTAAATTAACCACATTATTATAACAGTTTAAAACAATGACTTTGGTAATAGTAAAGAGATCTATTTTCTTTGTACAACAATGTTTTTAATTATTTTTCCTAAGGACTACATGTGAATGATAAGGTTGACTATCAGGACCTCGCAGGGCACAGGGCATGTGAAGTAGAGTTCACCTGTTTGTTTGTCCTTAGCATATGAAGGGATAGTGTGGTCAGAAACATGCTCGTCTGGAATCGTTTTCTTAAACGATAAAAACATGTTGTCTGTGACTTGGCGAGACACTGGGCAGGTGAAGTAGGGTTGAGTAAGTCACCTGTGACGTCAGTATATGAAGGGATTGTCCGAAATAGTTGTTTTCGGCGTTTTTAAAAGATAAAAAACATGTTTGAATGTGGGGTCTGTTTTTTGTGACGAAAAATGACACTGCAGTAGCGTAGCGAGGGGGGTGGGGGCGGGGGGTA